CAAATGCTTCCTAAAACAAATTAGTGATTAAAAGGTAGACACTTGATTACATAAGTAGTACTCCCTCCGTCCCAATTTTAATCACCCGTATTGACTTTTGGGCATATTTAAGAAAAATAAAAAATAGAGTTAATTTTTCAAAATTGACATTACTTTTTAAAATGGGTAATGATGAATGAGAAGATAATGTGAAAAAAATGACTTATTTTAAGGGTAGTTTAGGTATTTTATTTTTAATAGTTTATGAAAACAACTAACAAGCAATTTATTTTGGGACGGAGAAAAAAGGCAAACAGGCAATTTAAAATGGGACGGAGGGAGTAGCTAGTAGGAAGCCATTTTTTAGAAAAATGATTTTATTTTATATAGATGAATGTTTATTTTCTTTGTAACTACTCGAGCCATCTAATTCTACGAACAAAGAAAAAAATATAACTATGTCACCTAATTTTGTAAAACTTTTGACCTTGTTTTTAAATATATATTTTTTATTATTTAATTAACACGAATTAACATACAAAATGAATTAAAACTAATTTCATTCAAACATCGTAACGAAAAAAATTTGTGGATGAAGAGAGTAGTTATTAAAAAAATTCATACACTAATAAAGATTTCAATAAAATTAATTAAAATTTGGTACTTTAAGTTCTTAAATATATTTTTTAAAACAAATTTTCAATAATAATTCAAGAAAATAACATAAATTTATAGATCTTTCAATGTAGTATGTTTGAATATATAATTGCTATCACTATATTATTTAACCAAAAAAATATTCAAACGCCAAAATTCATGTGTAATTTTTAAGATTAATGGCTATCGTCGGATAGAATTTTTAAAATATTAATGCCAAAGACTAACATTTGATAGCTTTTTGAAAACGTTAACGCTAACCTCAAATGCTGATGTCAAAACGAGGCCAATACCATTAAATTAAATATGAATTGCAGTAACATTTTAAAATATGAATATGAATTGGAGTAACATTTTAAAATATATGAATATGAATTGGAGTAACATTTTAAAGATTGCTTTACTTTTAACATTTATGAATATGAATTGGAGTAAATATGACTCTTTATTCACATACACTACTACATTAGTAAAGATCTCTTTACTTTTAACATTTAATTATCTCACAACAATCTTTCTTAAATAATTCACAGTTGACCTGTGCAGTACATTGGTTCTTGATATCCTCCAATAGGAGTGGTGACATATCCAAGCCTTCAAAAGAATAGTCAAATTGCGCAATAGCAATGCAATACTCTATCTTTATTCTTTTCTTGGTATCAACATCGTCTGTTGTATCTTTATTATCGACGAGCAGCGGCGGCGCGTTCCGTGCTAATGTTAACAATGGAAAAACAATAGCTAAGATAAATACCACTATAATAGTGCACTTGTAACTCATCTTTTATTATTTCTCCTGCTTTATTTCTTCTATATATTCTTTTTACTCTTGCAGGATATATATATATATATATATATATATATATATATATATATATATATATATATATATATATATATATATATATATATATATATATAAAAGTTACGTTGAAGATTTCATTAACATAACCGGCCTTGATAATTAAATGCATTTTATGATAGACTAAAAAAACGTAGTCCAATGTTGTTGCCCTGTTTATGAATTATTTAGTGGATGGTTCTCTGTCATTGTAAACTGACCTTGTAAGTTGCTGATAAACTAGAACAAACGGAGTAGGTCTTTCCAAATAATTACTTAAAATACTATTCTGATCTTCACATATTACGAATATTTCCAAATGATTTATATATCATTTAAGTTATTTAATTTACACAAGAATATTTGAGATATAAGCCGCTTATACGTTAAAAAGTTCTTATTAACAATAAGTTATTAAGCACCAACACACTACTACACAAAAATTATACAATGATTTAAAATAATGCATAAATTATACACAAAAATATTTGAAAATAAAATTTATGATTTTAAATAAAGAAAAAGGAAAAACCTTGGAGTCGAAGTGAGGAGACAACAGCAATGGCAACGGCGGGCGAACAGCGACGATCGAGCTTCGAGGTTGACAATGGGAGAACGGTGAAGACGAGAGAATATGAACGAGGTCGACGGTGGAATGGAGCTTAACGGTGAGGAGGTGGGGCGACGGTGACGACCTAGGGCGAGCACAACGACGGCAACGGTGAAGAAAGAAGAATGAAATAATAAGATCGCATAAGAGATATAGTCTAATTTTAACCAACCCTTTTGAATTTGGTTATGAGTAATAACCGACTCAAAAGCCTTTTAAATCAATTATTACTAATAACTGATTCAAAAGGCTTTTGAATCGGATATTACTCATAACCGATTCAAAAGGGTCCGATTGGCAAAGTCCAGTACCCCATTTGCATCAATTATCTCTAAAATATATGCAAATGAGGTAGTTGATTTGACCATTTTTGTAGCAGTGACAGAGAAACACCCAATTAATAAAATGGTAAATCTATGTGCTTATAAGTTGGTGCCAGTTTTTTGGTTTCTCCGGCCGCTTTGACTATATTAAATAATGGAATAGTTGTATTATTCAACGAATAAAATAATACTTCCTCCATCACAAAAAGATTTACACGTTTCAAAAAAATTGCGTCCCACAATCTTCTTCCCATTTCTATTAAAAAACTACTTTTACCCCTTACTTTTTCAAACCCTACCTATCACATCATACCTTTTTCCTAATAATCTACACATCACATCATACTTTTACCCATCACATCAAGGGTATTTTTGAAAAGTCAACACAAAATTATCCCTCCCTTGATTTCAACTTTAGTCAAAACGTGTAAATCTTTTTGGGACGGAGCTGAGGGAGTACATGACAGGGTACATATATAGTCAGAATTATAACCCAAATAGGAATAGGAATCAATAATGGAAGCTGACTTACATACAAAGACTCTCATAACTAGTACTACCATTATTATTATTATTATTATTATTATTATTATTATTATTATTATTATTATTATTATTATTATTATTATTATTATTATTATTATTATTACCTTATGACATTGGGAAGTTCCCAATGTCATGGGATGACCCGGAGGTGCTTCGGTGCGCCATTCGTGAAATTGACGGTTCCTACTCCCCCGAACCCTCCAGGTAAACCCCCCACTCCGCTCCGACCCGAACGCACCCCCACCCCCTTCAATTGCACACCACAAGTTGATTTTGATTTTAGGGTCAACAATTCCAATTGTGCTATTTGGTAGCACAAAAATATGTGGCTATAGAACTGGTAGTCTCAAAAATGAATTAGAATCAGAGAATTGAAGTCAATTTCATCCAAATCAATTCCATAGAATTTTAACTTCAATTCAATTCAAATTTCGTCAATTCTATGTACCAAACGGACCCTTAGAGCAAAATATACGTAAGCTTTTTATGAATTTAACCATATAACATGTGTATGTTAAGCTCCTTCGAGCAAAGATGTTCTAATATTAAGAGACTCTTACAAGAAGGTGAATAATGAAGTACGTACATTGAACTGCGTTATGTACACCTAATACTATTAATATCAGAAATGCCATTAATTATTATTGTTATTATGTAGTAATGAATTGGTAACACTACTTACGTTAAATTAATTTATTATCTTATTCATCAGTTCACCATATACATAAGGCCAAATAGACAATCAAGCAAAGGAGCTAGCTCTAGTATAAATCTAGAAGAAAACTATACAAGAAATATAAACAATGACTTACAATAAGCACATTGTGGTGGCTTTTATGTTAGCCATCATTTTTCCTTCGTTAATATGGGCCGAGGATTCGCCCCCGACCGATGATAACGATCTTTATGCGGAAAGAGCGGAAAAAATACAAAATTGTATGTATTTTACAATGTATGACATTCTTTATGACAACAATATTATTTCACCACACCAGAGGCACGTTATCAAAGTCAAATGTGTTGCACAGGCAAATTGCGAAGTGTTCAAAACAGATTGCACGACTGATCAAAGCAACGATGGTTAAATTAATTGCTACAATTTGGAACTCCATTTTGTTAATTAAGTTCGTGTGGCTGTTTATCATAAGTAAAATTAAGAATTAAAAATTCTATTAATTACCCTTCCGTCCATTATTATTACATGCTTTGTACAATGATTTTAACATCTCAAAGTGTTATGCTTTCAAGCATTTATGGTTGATGAGCTAATTCGAGACACTTGCTTTTTTGGATGAGCTTTATATTGTTGAAAATATTTTTCATATATGTCCGTTTGGTATGCGAAATTGATGGAATTGGAATTAAAATTTCATGGGATTCAATTCCATAGAATTGAATTCATCGATTCTAATTCATTTTTTTTACACTACCAGTTCCAAATCCACATAATTTTTGTGCTACCAAACATGAGAATTGGAATTAAAGTCCTCAATTCCAATTCCATAGTTTGAAGTTCGTGTACCAAACGGGGCCTTATTTTAATTTGGAGCTTAGAAAAATGGCCGATAGACTTTCGTAGTGTGATTCATTTCTAGTTTAATTTTTTGAAGATAAGTAGTTAAGAATGATCAATCAAAGCTGGAAAAAAGTCGGAATAATGTCCCAATACATCATATGAGCTTGAGAATAGGCCTTCAAAGCTCGAAGATGGGCCAAAAAAATTTGAGGAACGGGGGAAATAGAGGCCAAACAAGAGATAAAATCATGAAGTAACAACTTACACTCATTAACCAAAAAGCCAAAGTAAGACCTGGGAGTTGTAGGCGATTCCAGATAAATTAAAAAATAATTATTATACTACTCGCTCTATCCATAAGTACTCCGTAAATGGCATGTGCAGTATTCGCGTGGTCGAATTTTATTCAATTTTTTTACTTATTATGATATTTCAAAAATACATTTAGAGACTAAAGTAATCTATTGATATTAAATTTCTATTGCAATATATGATATTACATTTAGGAAAATAACATTCTTTTTAAGACAAAGGGAGTATCTTTTACTAACCTTGCTAAACCAAACCCTCTACTCTACTTTTCTAGCCATCTATAAATAAAGTCGATAACTCAGCTACTCCATCTCCCGACAGCATTAGTTGTACATTGCAAATCACATAAAAAGAGAGAGATAGAGAGAGGGGGGAGGAGAGAGATGTTTTTTGGATTAGAAGATAGAGTTGTCATGTTTTCATGGCTTCTTTGCGTCATGGTCGTCTTCCTTGTCCAAAAGATTTCGGCTGGTTGTGTGGATGGCTCTGCAGCCCCAAATGCATCTCTCACATTGCTCAAAACTGATGTGAATGATCCCATGGCGCCTGGTCAAATTATTATTATTATAGAGAACTTTAATTAGTATGGTATATTGTTTATATGTATTAGTACTTCTTATATATCTAGAAATATTTGCAATAAAACTTATTAGCAATGGAGTTGTGACATCTAATGCCCCCACTTATTATCTCTTTTGCATTTATTAGGGTTTTAATAGACGACAAGCCTATGCATGGTCAAGTCTCCATCGCCTCCTTGGACCATAATAATAATAATAATAATAATAATAATAATAATAATAATAATAATATATAAATGTTGTACCAAAGTGTAAAGAACATTGATTAATTTGTCAATTTCTAGAGTAGGAGTAATTAGCTTAGCATTACGAGATAAAAAGGTACACCAAGTTTAAAGTTTAATCATACATACGAGATGTAAACATTAATTACGAGAGCAGATTTATACGGAGTATAGTACTAGTAATAATTAAGTGACAAAAGAAAGTAATTAAGAGGAACAATGAATATTTGATAAAGTGAAATTTGCACTAAATAGGACTAAAACACAATGACTTTCTTAATGTAGGACTTAAACTTTTTTATTCCCTAAATAGAACTTAATAATGACCTTGTTGGAGAATTAATGTCCAGTAATGATGGACATTTAGTTGAATAATGACTACATGATAATGACCAAAGGTCCTACATTGAAAAATAAAAACATATGGTCCTATATTAGGAAAGTCATTATGTTTTAGTCCTATTTAGGTAAATTACTCTGTGATAAACTCACTGGATCCGCCCCTTGAACACTGCCGGTAAAAGAAGATCGGTCACAATAACGAACAAAAATGCGGTTCCAGTTGCACTAAGTCTAAAACATATAGGAGAGTAGAATTTTCATCCATGCACAGTAAAATAACAAATTAACCGCACACAAAATACTAATTAAAGGTCTTAAAAATAATACTCGTAATTATTTTACCAGGCGATCATTCACATCAGCTTTGAGCAATGTGAGAGACGCATTTGGGGCTACAGGGCCATCCACACAGCCAGCCGAAACCTTTGGGCCATGGAAGACGACCATGACGCAAACAAGCCATGAAAACATGACAACTCTATCTTCTAATCCAAAAAAAACATATCTCTCCTCTCTCTCTCTCTCTCTCTAAATCTCTCCCTTTTTATGTTATTTGCAAGGTACAACCACTAATGCCGTTGGGAGATGGAGTAGCTGATTTAGTACAGTTAGAGCAACTCCAATGCATATGCTAAAGTTTGGTAAGCTAAATGCTATTTTAGCTTCCCAACAGTGATTTAGCATTCCATTTTTCCAGCACTCCTCCAACCATGTCATCTATTTTTAAACTTTTAAAATATTTGTTACATTAAATTTTTTGAATTTTGTAAACATACCTAATTCATATTTTTATATTGCATTAATGTTCATGTACGGAGTAAATAACATGATAATATATTTTTTATAATACTCCCTCTGTCCTAAAATTAATTTCCCAGTTTGACTTTTGCAGTCAAACTTTTTAAACTTTGACTCTAGATTAAGGAAAAAATACATTGAATTTTCTAATAAATTTTTTTAGGAATAGATTCATTTTGGAATATAATTTTGAAATATATATTTTTTATAAAATATATCTATATAAAAATTGAGATATTGATGGTCAAAGTGTCACATTGGAGACCGTGAAAAGTCANATAATACTCCCTCTGTCCTAAAATTAATTTCCCAGTTTGACTTTTGCAGTCAAACTTTTTAAACTTTGACTCTAGATTAAGGAAAAAATACATTGAATTTTCTAATAAATTTTTTTAGGAATAGATTCATTTTGGAATATAATTTTGAAATATATATTTTTTATAAAATATATCTATATAAAAATTGAGATATTGATGGTCAAAGTGTCACATTGGAGACCGTGAAAAGTCAAATGAGAAGTTAATTTTAGGACGGAGGGAGTATTTCTCTCTCAAATTTTCCTTTATTCTCATAATACATTTTAACAAAAAAAGTCCTACATAATTAGGTTTGACCTTTTGGGATAAGATTTGCTATCCTATAAAATCTAGATAAGATTTGCTTTTTGAGAGATCAGATTTGCTTTTGGGAGATAAGACATTTTACAAATGTGTATAAAAGAAACTCATTTCTTAAATCTAGAAAAAAGAGTTACATTAAACACATCTCTCCTGATAAAATAAGTTTGGAAGACATGGCTCATTTCTTTAATCCCTTCAAGTATGCTCTTGATGATTTTGATGATGAGGAAAGAATCAACTTTGGGGCAATAACTGCCATGGCAGTTGAAGAAGAAGAAAATGCTAGACAACAGTTAGCTCGACAAGGATCTATTCTTGGGCATTCTATTATTTATCGTGATAGAAAAGGAGGTCACAATAGGTTATGGAATGATTATTTTGCAGCAAATCCTGTATATCCATGATAACTATTTCATACAAAAAAGGGACGCTTGTGGAGTTCTTGGATTATCGTCCCTTCAAAAGATAACAGCTGCAATGAGGATGCTTGCTTATGGAGCATCAGCTGATTCAGTTGATGACTGTGTACGTATTGGAGAAAGTACTGCCATAGAGAGCCTTAAAAGGTTTGTTTCTGCAGTTATTGCAGTTTTTGGTGATGAATACAAAAGAGCACCCAACGAAGAGGACATTAATAGATTATTGGGTGTTGGTGAACGTCGTGGCTTCCCTGGTATGCTTGGAAGTATTGATTGTATGCATTGGAAATGGAAGAATTGTCCAACTGCTTGGCAAGGTATGTACACGGGACATATTCATGAACCAACCATTATTCTTGAAGCAGTTGCTTCTTATGATCTCTGGATATGGCACTCATTCTTTGGGTTACCAGGAGCACTCAATGATATTAATGTTTTAGATCGATCTCCTGTTTTTCGTGAATTACTTGCGGGACGTGATCCTCCTGCTACGTATTCAATTAATGGACACGAGTATAAAATGGGGTATTATCTAGCTGATGGAATATATCCTACATGGGCTACTTTTGTGAAAACAATTCCATGTCCTCGAGGAAAGAAGCAAGTGCATTTTGCAGCAGCACAAGAATCAGCTAGAAAAGATGTAGAGAGAGCTTTTGGAGTCTTACAATCTCGATGGGCTATAGTGAGAGGACCAGCTCGTTTTTGGGACCGAGAAACACTTGTTGACATTATGCAAGCATGTGTGATAATGCATAATATGATTATAGAGGATGAAAGAGGAATGGAGAATGTAGATTACGATGCAATTGACTCATGTCCAGAAATTATCGTGTCTCATGAACAAACACCAAATGTCATGGAATTCTTACAAACACATATTCAAATGAGAAATAAACAAGTTCATTCCCAATTGCAGGCAGACCTAGTCGAACATTTGTGGCAAAAATATGGAGAATAAGCACTTCAACGCAATGTAGAACACTTACATCAGACCATTAAGGATATCTTGTTGAAGCTTCTTGTAGTATGCTGCTCTTGTTTCATCCATAGTAGTAGTATCCATCTTCATTATCTCATTGGTGTACTTCTGCTTTTCCAATGCAATGTATTCTGTGTGTTTTTGTTTCTCCAGCTCTAGATATTCTACTTGATAGAATAGTTGTTTTTCAAAAAACTTTGGTGGTCTCAAAAAACGAAAATATTATGGAGGAACAAAAGCATTAAAATTGAAAGAACAAAAATTGCAGATTGGGGGAACAAAATTGAAAGAACAATTGCATTAAAAAATTACATATTACGAGAAAAATGTATTTGCTTCATATGCAGTGAACAAACAACCAGCAAATCAATATCAATTTTAAGAAGAGAATTACAATTGCAGACCAGAATATGTTGCAAATCAACCCCCAAATTTTAATTTTTCCAGTAGCCCAAGAAACCAAATGAATTTAAGGTAAACAATCGCCCTGGCACAGTAATTGGACGAAAAAATCCATGAAAACTATGATATGAAGCTTACCTCGAGTCGTTCCTAGAGTTCACGTTCCGTCTTCAACGAGCGAAGAAGAGAGAGAAGTGTGAGAGAAGCGGCGTAGGAAAGAATAGCAGATGCAGACCACAGGTTATAATTGAAAGGTGAAAAGTCAATTATAGAAGTTCTTTTATTTTTTTGAAGGGTGCGTTGGAACCTTATTTAGGAATAGTAAAGTGTAAATTTTCTTTTTTTTTAGCTTATACATGCCCGGTTGGAGTTGCCCTTATGGACTTTATATTTATAGATGGCTAGAAGAGTACGTACAGTAGAGGGTTTGGTTTGGCAAGGTTGGTAAAAGGTACTACCCCTCTCTTAAAAAGATTGTTACTTTCCTATCTCCACCTCTCAGCAAATTGCATTGAATTGCAATAGAAATTTAATATCAATATATATTTTTTTGAAATAAATATAGTTTTGAAATATCATGTTTTTATATTCTATATTTATAAATAAATAGATTAGAGATATTATTAATACTCGAAGGGTTAATTAGAAACTGTGAAAAGTCAAATGGAAAAAAAGATATGGGACGAAGAGAATATCTAATTATGAAAATTAAATTATTCTCCCGTCCGGGAAAGATCTTTCCCTTTGACTCTTGGTCAAAGTTTATAAAAATATATATACTTTGTGTGTGTATATATATATTTTCCCAATAAATTAAAAATATACTTCGTATCATTTATATTAAAAATAGAAAAAACTTAATATTGACATGAAAAAAAGAATAGGAAATCAAAATAATTTATAAATTATAGTTATGAACATAGTAATAATAATAATTTCTCAAATGATAATAAAGTCCGATATTTAATTTAGTATAATCAGAAACTTTTGATGAAACTCCTTGACGAAAAGTGTATCCCCAAATTAAATAATGCATCATTTAAAAAAGGATCGGATAAATCTAGGTATGTCAAGGAACCAACTCAATCAAAACCTCAAGCTTGTGGTTGTGGCTCAGAAAACGTTTCTTATATTCTAACACGCTCCCTCACGTGCAGGCGTAGTTTTTTTCGAGCCTTGCACGTGAAAACTTAATTTTTTTAAAACTGGATGGCGCTGACCATGAAACGTTTCTTATATTCTAACAAGGTGTAAATCAGAATGGGGTACCCCATTTGTGTCTGTATTTATCTGTGTTTGCCTTGTGTGCAAATGAGATATCTCATTTTAGTGTACCCTAGCATGTCTCATTAAAAAAAATCAGAAGATCATTAATTAATACTCCCTCCGTCCGGAAATGATAGTCCCATTGTACGTTTTTTTTCGTCAGGGAATGATGTTGCCATTGTACGTTTTTTCCTCTACTTTTCCAAAATTACCCTCCATCTCTTTCTTTTCTTCCTTTCTTTTTTTCTTTTCCCCTTCCTCCTCCGCCAACCCTTTTCTCCGTCTCTTTCTTTAATTCCTTTTTCTTCTTCTCTCCTATTTCTCTTCCAGCCGTTCCTTCTTCCTTTCTTCAATCTCCTTTTCTTTCCTTTCTTTCTCTCTTTTTTCTCTGAAAGATCTACTCCCTTTATTCTCTCTGTTGCTTCTTCTTCTCCTATAGATCTGGGGTTGGCGGCGACACGGTAACAGATGACGGTCGTGAGAGTTGGAGTGGTGATGGATCTGCGGAGATCTACATATGCTTAATCTTCTTCTTCTCATCTCCCCCCTTCTGTTTTCTCTTTCTGCCAGCAATGGCGATGGTGGTAGCTGAGGATGATGGTCCGATTGATGGTGGTGGTGGGGGTGGTGCAATGGTGGTTGGGTCTGGGAGAGATGTTGGGGCGGCGACCACTGTTGCTAGATAGGGTTGACGATGATTGTGTAAGGGCAACAGTGGGGCGGCGGCCAACAGTGTGGGCTGGGGCGGCGGTGGCAAACAATGGTGGCCGGGTGGTAGTTCATGGATCTATGATTGGGGCANCTCCCCCCTTCTGTTTTCTCTTTCTGCCAGCAATGGCGATGGTGGTAGCTGAGGATGATGGTCCGATTGATGGTGGTGGTGGGGGTGGTGCAATGGTGGTTGGGTCTGGGAGAGATGTTGGGGCGGCGACCACTGTTGCTAGATAGGGTTGACGATGATTGTGTAAGGGCAACAGTGGGGCGGCGGCCAACAGTGGGGGCTGGGGCGGCGGTGGCAAACAATGGTGGCCGGGTGGTAGTTCATGGATCTATGATTGGGGCAGTGGTTCTAGTGGCAAATCAAAGAAAATAAGAAGGATAATTTAGACACTTTCATCCTGAAGTCAACACTCCTTAAAAATAAAGAAAAGTCAAAGTGAGACTATCATTCCGGGGACGGGGGAGTAGTACGTATATTATGGGGCCAGAAGCATGATGTTTGTTTAATGTCATTTTGCAGTTTAGAGTCATGCAAGCTTTTGAGAAAACTTTTGTTATGCTGTTCTGCAGGAGTATATTTATAGAAAGGGCACATGCAATGTGGAGCTGTTTACCACTGGTCCATAAGCTAGCTTTGTAAACGCCATTTAGTAAACGGATGGGGTTCCCATGACATTGACTTCCAATGTCATGAGATGACCCGGGGGCGTTCCGGTGTCCCGTTCGTAAAATTGACGGTTCATACCCCCCCTAACCCCCTGGTAAATCCCCCTACCCCGCCCCGATCCGAACACACCCCTCTACCCCCGTCAATTGCACCCACAAGTTTAATTATTTACTCTCTTCGTCCCAAAAAGATGGTAACAATTACTGGTTTACTGCTTTGATGTCTTAATAACTTTTGTTTATTTACTTGTTTTGGTTGACGATTTGATAAAATAAAATATTCTTGTCATATCTTATTTTGTAAAACTTTTGATGTACTATTGAACGGTATAATTTTTGCTTTTTATTTTGTGGGGGACTTACTGCGGGGTTCGAGTGGGGGTGCAGGGGTAGGGATGGGCCGGGGGTATGTATTAATTGTAGATGACTTTCGAAATGTATGTTATAAAAAGTACAAAAAAGAATTCTAATTTTGATTGTTAGCAAATTCAAAGTGAGTGTATACTGCAGATGACTTTTCTAATTTTCTCTTTGGACATGATTAGTAAAAGTAGAATTTGATTGATAAGTTAATAGTGAATAGATATAATCTGATAGGTTAGATAAGAATTAGTGGGGATAAAATAATTTTTTTAATAGAAACTTAAAATATTTTATGGAAAAATGACTAGTAAAAATGGAATTATTTTGTGAAATAATAACAAGAATATACTCGTATATAATACAGTACAATAATACGTTGCACCAATAAAGTTAATAATGCTCAACAAAAGATTTTTAACTGAAAGTGTATCTCTTTTAGTACTATGTAATAATGAGCTAGCCACACAATTAAAATTAAAATGAGGCTTGTAATCTAGTGACAACCCTTTTTGTACAAGTCACAATTCACAATTCCTCGGCATAAATTTTTCATAATCTTTAACTGTTCTGGTGTAAATTAAAGTCGTAAATATAACCACGGTAGAATTGTCTTAGATGATCCATGCATTTCTCCATTCTTTCTTCAAACTCTCTTGCATTGCTATGATCATCATGTGTATCTAACTCACTGATGGGTGATGGTGCATCTTGTGCAAATGCAACAAGGGAAGAACAAGAGCTAATATAAATAGGACACCAATAATGTGCTTGTTGTTATAAGCCATAGTTTTTTTTTTTTTGAACATTAAGCCATAGTTTAATACGGAGTATATTCTTGTAAATATTTAATTTGCTTCTAGTGTAGGGGTATGTATGTGAGCATGAACACTTTATTTATGTTCGGAATAAATATATACTCTAAAAAATATAGTGAATTTAGTTAGCCTTTAAAGGTTAAACGCATTATTAATTGAGTTACATGTATTCGTTACCTAGCAATTAATGGCAATAGTAATTATAAATCTCTCTCAAACTATATAGTCATGTCATTGCTAGTTTTTTTTAGATCTTTTGATCTTATTTTTCGATATGTAATTCATATTTTTTAATTCTACATCATTTTTCGTATAAAATGATTTAAAAATAATTTCAGTCAAACATCATAAACCGAAACATGCAATATAAATTGGGACGAGAGGAGTAATTTTTTTAACACTTATCATTAAAAAAATCTTTATTTCTTATTCAAGAACAGTTATTTATGAAGTAAATGAAATTGTAATTGATTTTATTAATAGCATCATTGGTGTATGCCTTGTGCAATGGGGTCGGACCGTCTCTCCTAAGAGCACTGGTAAAACCTGTGAAGTCCTGGGGCTTCAATCTTTTTTTTTCTGCCACATCAGCTTTAACTGATAGAAAGTTTTTAATTTTTCTTGAATTTTCTACATACTCCGTATAAATTAGAGTTTTTGAGTGATTTGTTATTTGGATTATAAAATTGAATTCGAGCAGATGAGAATGCACGAAGAACCCTCTGTCAAATTTAAGTTCATTTTTCAAGATTTTGTAAGGGGAGGGTAGGCACTTAAATGTCTCTTCAGAGTTTTCAATTTGGCCAATAAAAAAAAACTCTAATTTTTTTAATGAACAACAATTCTCTATAATAATTTTTACTTATGTTTAATGTCTTTGAATCTAAATTTTGTTCTTTTCACAGAATTTAAACATCTGTGAGACAAACATGATAACACTTGACCATTTTTAAATGTTTATGAGACAGACACATATACTTTTATCTGTGTCAATTTTTAGAAAATATTAGTGATATTTCTCTAACTTTTAGTCATTTAAGAGATCGATGTCTATAGTTGCCCATGTTTGGAATTCATAGACTTTTACTATCCGTGGTTTTATTAATTTGTGTATTTCTTGTTTGATGAGGTTGTTTGACTTCAAGTATAAAATTATTATCTTGATTAACTATAGAGTTTACATACATTCACCGGACATTAAACATCTGTAAAAAATTCTAAATTCACGGACATCTTGATTTACTATAGAGTTTAACTATGTAGAGTTTACTATAGAGTTTACACACATTAAACATATTGATTACATAAGAAATCTTGATTAACTATGGAGTTTACATACATTCACCCAATATAATACCATAGAGGGATTAGGACTTTAGGAGAGGTAGAAACTATTAATTTTACAAACAGACCACTGTAGGTGTCCCAATTGGGCGAGTGGCTTCCGTAGCCACTCTTTCTGAGTGGCTTAGAACCCAGCCGAAAAATGTAGGAAAAATTTCATTGACAATAACACTCCTTAGACTCTTGTCCAAAAGTCACACACGTAGGGTAAGAGGTAGGGTAAGGTGGGTAAATGAATCCAACCCAACTTTACTTTACTTTACAAAGGTAGTTACACTTTGAACTGTAAAAAATGAGGTAAAATGAAATTAATTGAGGTACAGAAAGCTTAGAAATGAAAGAGAGGTGAGAGTTATGCCAAAAGCTCTAATTAACATGGTTATGCAAAGTGTAATGAGTATTACTGTACAATTACTTGGGCATTCCAGGCAAATCCCACATGGTTAAACTATCCACAATTCAACTAAATCCACCATCTGTAATTTCCCTAACATGGTCAAAAACAAAAAGAAAAAAAAATTGTGAAGCCCAAGACACCATTTCTGCACATCAGTGACGGGTTCGAACTCGAAACGAATGTCAAGAACTCGTGAGATTAATGGTCTTCCACTAGACTAATCCTTGAACCCGAAAAAAAAGAATATTCTTTGAAAAAAATTATCAAAGTCGCGAGCGGTAACCATCTTTCTATTCTAAAAGTTGCAGCAATGGGCTTGGCCGAAATTGAGCAAATTGTCCCACAGGCAAAACATTTGCTGTGGAGATTGGTAATGTGCTGTAATGTAATTCTCCATACATCCATACTGACAAAACTTCCAGTCATGAATGTACTCAACAGGTCTTGTGTTGTTGTACTTCTCTACCCACATTCCCATGCTCACATCCTCCATTTTGAATAGCTGTTGATTTATATAACAGATTCATACAATCTGGGGAAATTAAAGTGTAATACCAAGTTAATCACTTAAGAGGGCGGATTTACTAACCCTTAAGTTGCTGTTTAGATGTTCAGAGACTATATATTTAGCAATGTCTCGGGATATAATGTATCCGGGACCATTAGCATAAGGAGGATACACATCTTCTGGCCACTCCTGTTGTATTAAAAAGACCAACAAGGGATACTGAATAAGCATGGAAGAAAGAAAGAATGTCAGCTAAGCAACTGGGAAGCCACTCTGCGAATGTTACCTCAAATGTAACAGCCCATTTTCCGTGTCTAAGAGGCCGGTGCAAGAAATTAATATTGCCCAGGTAAGCAGACTTTGGTGGACGAACGCGATCAATTTCTTTCAGAACAGCGTCTAATCTGATGAAATTGTCATCATCACATTTCATAACATAAGCAGAAGTCACATTTTGAACCTGCAACAAGTGTTTTGGGCCATTTAATCAGTGGGACAGTACTTAGTGCCCACCCATTTTTTTGGTGGGGGGAGGGGAGTGGGGAATATAGGAAAGAGATCATAGTTACCCCATAATCGCATATGGAGATTGTCTTTAAAACCACTAACTCATATCTATCAATGAATGGCACGACCACAATGTCCCCAAAGTAAGCAGCCTCCTTTCTCAAAATTGCATTCAACTCCTTCCGTTGATTCTATGCAATATAACATTAAGTGCGTCATCAAATATTCTTCCAAAATAAAATTTCAACCAAAAAATACACAGTTGCACACAGACATAAACTGCATATGGAGAAACTTAGCATCCTCCTAGTGTTAAGCATTTTGTACTAGAGTTACTCAATATGCTTCAGTTTATTCATTACAGATGCTGGAAAAAGAGAAATTTTCATTTCTAACTCTATCTCATGACAGAGACTATTAACATGGTAATCTACAAAATTTGGTTCCCATTATAAAGAATTCCTTAAAACTTTCCTTTCCCCTGGTCAAAATTAATCTTTAGATTACTTTCATTGTTCCAGAGTGTCAAACTCCAACAAAACATCACCGCCTACTTTCCATCTTTCGTTTTAATCCTTTTCTCATCTCCTTATTTGAATTCTCCTCCAATGAAATTCTTTTGAGGCTTATTTTCTATACAAATTTATCATTAATAGCATGCCTAGAGTGGGTTCAAGTCAATGTGTTCACTTTACATTCCATTTGATGAACCTGCTATTTTAAATCTCATCATTTTTACAGGATACGACTAGGGAAACAATCTGCAGTTAACCAAGACAGAAAGAAAGAGGGAAGCTTACCAGTGCAACAAAGAAACGTGCCATTACGTTTAGGGACTTGATTGCTTGAGACTGCATCCAAGTTTTTCTTATAGCCATGCGTTCTGCAAAGTGATTGGTGGCAGATAGGACTCCAATGAAAAGTTTAATAGGCTTCTGGGGATAAGGAAGAGACTTCCACTTCTCAGAGAAGTCCAATACCCTTTGTGGTGAAAAACTTGGATGAGATGTGGGCAGAGATGTTGCATAAACTGAATGAATATCAACATCACCTGCAATTGCCAACCCTGTCGCATCTTCTAGCGTGAAGCCCTGAAAAAACAGAGAATGTCTATTTTTAAAAAAATGGCATTCTCAAGTCAACTGAAACAAAGATGCAACAAATAACAGTATGACATCCAAATAGACATAGACGTCAAATCCATGCTGAAAGTAGAAGGAAAAGGGTGTTAAATGAAACAAAAACAATGGATGGGTGTGTAAAGTTCATATTCAAGGTGTTAGTAGGAATTCTTCCTTGACAAAAACTGCCACCAACGGTATGATTGGATAGAAAAATTTCGAAGATTTGGGAAGGAAAAGCTTTGGAGGGCTTAGTCTTATATCTTGATAGAGAGAATGTTTCAAAACAATGAGCAAAAGACTAAAAGGTTATCAAAATGTTACATGATCACCTGCCACGTGTTCATTTCAATTTTAATAAAATCTCAAAGATGTACTCAGGTAACATCTATATATTCACTTCAATACCAAGTTTTCCCTATCATCTACGAGAATTTGTTTACTTCTTTAATTTAATATAGGTTAGGTTGTTCAAATCTTTTTCCCATAAACCTGCAATGCTCAATGATGTGGGAGACTATGTGAGTTTTTGATAAGTATATTAGTTTTATAACTTCAGTTTGTAAACAAGATTCAGACACTTCAAAATGATAAAACTCAAGCCCATTGTATGCAAGGCTGCCTCATCTGAAAGATTTGATAAAATAACCACAATTTATCAATTCAATCACCCGATCATGGAGTAAACAAACATACCACCCGGTATGGAAATGAGGTCACATGACGACCACCAACACTTATATGGAACCCATCAATACCAGCACGAACAGTCATTATAAACATTCTTCCCTCCACAAATGGAAAAGGCCAGGTCACCTCCGGCTTCTTGGCACGCCCTATGAATCGCTGGAACCATGAAAACATTTTGGACTCTTTCACATCTACTATATCACTCCGCATCCACTTTTCACATCTCGGAAGTCCATCAACTACAAGAATGTGCATCATGCTCAGTGGTATTTTATCTTAAACAAAAGCAGTGCATGGAAAACTTGGGAGACACTATTACAGTACTAAATAAGAAAGGCCAAAAATGAAGAATAATAGTCTGTGTTTTCCTAGGAAAAGCATCCATGGAGAACCATAGTAACAGAATAGGAAAAAGCAAGTCTCTCTCGGAATTCATGTCTAGCAACAGAACTGGAACGTACAAAATTAACACTGAATTAGAAAAAATATACAGCCAACATGCTGATATCTCCAATACAAGCAGATAAGTTTACATAAGAGCAGGTGTACAAGTGTATCCACGATCCAATGACAATTAAAAAAATGCCATGTGCTGATTACTGTTCTAAGTTGTTGCACTTGCACATTAAGGGCTTTGTTTCTCCAGTAGTCCATTCCAATCATTATACAACTCCAAATGAGAATATCAATGTTATTCCTAAGCTCAAACTCTTCTTCTATATTTCAAGCTTACTTTAATTTGACAGCTTTATAATCCAATTCTTTGATAATTACTCCTTCCATCCCGGAACACAAAGTCTTCTTTGTAATACTGGTTTCAGTAGTATAAACAAGACTTTTATTTGCGAGTGGGGGGTGGGGGTCAATTGTTTTTTTTTTTGGGTAGTTCCCCTTCTGCTTTTGGGGGTTCACAACATTATGCCATGTAAGTTAAGATAAATAATTGGTGTGATGGACCAATAGATCATAAGCTCTTACCAAGCACGTCCTCTCCACTTTTGGAAGGAATACCATCACACCGTTGAGACGTTCCCCATTGCATTCTATAACATGTATTATGCTCAATCACTGGATGATGGCTCCAGTCTCCCCTTAAACGGGGATTTAGATGCAAAATCTTTGGAGGGTCTTCCCCAACCACCGCTTTTATTCCTTGTAACTCAAATGAAAAATGAGATATCGAAACCATTCCATCACTTTTCCTTGACTTGGCAAGCTGGGGCACATATTCACGGTGTGCATAATGTGGAGTGCCAATCACAGTGATAGAAGAACCAGCAGCAAGGCCACAAGGAAGGAGCATAATGCGATCTTCTTTAGCCAATTCCTCTCCTGTCTTGGTAACCGATGAAGGGCATGACTCGGGCTTCCCCTCAAATATAGAATTCTTTATCCCCATTTCCTTCTCATCGTATCTGTCTGCTTCATCCCAGGCCTTCAAGCCTAATGTCCAAGCTTCAACTGCCATTCTCTCAAAGACAGAAAAGTTTCTACTCATATTCAGTGGTTTCAAAACACCAGAAGATATTTTATCATACCCAAACATACGAGGCTTTTTAACAGGCATATCGGTGTCCCCTGAAAAATCTTCGTCTCTCGGGATCTTTGGCATATTTGTTTTGTCATTCTGCAATCCCTCCGCATTACCCATGTCCGGTTTACTAAGTGCTTCACCTTCATCTAAGAATCCATCCAAACCCACAACACCCTCATCACCTCCCAAAGTTGTGGCACTCTCATAGAACTCAGGAAACTTCAAGCATATAAGAATCAAGTACAATGCACCTAAACACAAGAAAGTATGGGATAGCTTAATCCTCCTTCCACTCTGAGCCTCAATTTTGGACCTCTTCATCTTTCAAAAAAAAAAGTGCCCCAAACTTCACAAAGAATGCTGAAAGCCTTTCCAATTCATTTCATCCCCACACCGCGAAAACCAAACTACTAACTCAAAATCCACATTCAAGAACCTCCATATTAAGCAACCCCAGATTCCCACATCCGAAAATGCATTTCGAAATTCAACACAATGACCTCAAAGCATGCCAAGAAACTGAAATCCCACCCTCGAATCCAGAAACCAGACACAAGATCAGATAAAACTAACGAACAGACGGCCAAAACGGGACGATCGAGCGGTATATTATGAGGAATTGATGAACGGACCTGCTAGGAAATTAATGCATCCCGACATTCAAAGGGAAGGGAAGAGCAGATCAACCTCAAGAACGGGAGAATGTCGCCGGAGAAGCCGTGGAAAGATGAAGAAAATCGGGAGAGGCGTTTGCGTGAGGCGGGTCGTTACGGACCTGAAACAGTTGGTTGATTTTTCAACCCCGGGAAATGGGAAGAATTTTCCAGTTTTCTCGAAGAAGAAGATCTTGGAGTTGGAGGGCTCTCCTTTTTCCTGCCCGCTTTCATTATTCGAACTTACGTACCGGTCTATACTCTATTAATTATTATGAAATTTTATTTAGATCACCTCCCTATTTGGTAATAGCATTAACATTTCGAAAAAATTATCTATGAACAGTGTTTAGTGTTAACATTTTCAATATCATTTATGTCGTTAAAACTATGTCTAAAATGCTAATGTTAATCGTTAATGTTATTCCCAAACAGGTCCTACATCCTTTTCTTCTCCTAAATTACGGAATATGTGTTACGGAGTAATTGATATTGATCAAATATGAAATTAAGAAAAATGAAATTACATGATTAAAAATATTAAAGAAGCAAGAAAATTAATGTAAGTCACAAAAATATTACCGTGAATGAAAAATTACTCCCTTCGTTCTTAAAAAATTGCCACAATTTGATTTTGTTATGCAAATTATGACACCCTTTGACAACAAATTATGAAAAAATATATTTAATTATAATGTAAATTAAGTAAAATTAGGTTTATTTTAAAATATAATTTTGAAATAATAAATTTTTATAATATTTAATTATTCTAAACTATATTTAATTTGTGGTAATAGAATGTCACAATTTGACCAATAAAATCAAAGTGTGTCAATTTTTTAAGAACAGAGAGAGTACCTTATTTTAGGGCAGATAAAAAAGACAATGTAGCTAGAACATTAAAGTAGAAAACACTCTAAATAAAACTAAAGCATAGAGAAAAGTATCAAAATAGGATTTTAATGTTTTTTTTTCAAATAGGACTTAAAATGCATTTACATAACAAAACATGATCATGTACATTACCAAAAAGTATAGTAATGTACACATTTTTTAAGAAATAAGTTTTCATGAGACAATGTTTTTGTTGTAACATATCTCAGCAATCTGGTCGTTCGACGGTACATCTTATAGTTTTAAACAATTCAAACAAAAAATTCAAACTTATAGTTTTAAATTGTAGAATAATTTGATGTAAAAACCCGTGATTGTGTGTCCAACAAAGTTTTTTTATCTTCTAACTCCCATACTAAAAAAAATTAGGATTATACTGAGTTGTAATTCACAATTTTTTTCGAAATATAAACATGAGAACACAGCAAGAAATGAGCAAGAGAAATACGTACTTCAGTTATCTGCAATATCAATGGAGTAAAACTAAACACTACTACTAGGCTAGAGTAGGAATGTAGGATTATCATAGAATTTGATTAGATTTTAGTTCATATATAGTTTATTATAATTGAATTTGTACTTCAAAATCTAATTAAATTTCACTACAATTATCCTTTCCCTAACTTTCAAATCTCTGATGGTTCTTCATCAAATGACACAACTCTTCATTATAAGTGAAAACATTATTTTTAATGTTATAAATCACCTAATGTTTATGATCTATTAATGTAAACACAAGCTTGATGAGTATGTTTCTTACAAGCTTGAGTGCATGCATACATCCCCTTAAACAGAAGTTTTTTCCAAGATATTCAGATGTAGCTTTTTTTTAATAACCCACTCAACTAAAAGTGCAAACTTATAATTATCCTTTCCCTTAACTTTCAAATCTCTGATGGTTCTTCATCATCAAATGACAGAACTCTTCATCACTAGTCTTGAGCATCATCCCCAATGGAAGACCCTCCACCACTCCCCTCTGCACGGCCTCCATGTGCCTCTTCTTGATCCTCTTCTCCAAGCTGAATGTGAAGTACTGGGGGAACTCCTTCAGCTCCTCCAGGCCGCGCCCCATTTCGTCCGCGAAGTATCTGAATTTCGGCTTGAAATTGTTCTCAATGCTGAACGTGAGGAGCCCCGGGCACCGGACCACCATCCCCGCCACCTCGGTTCTCGAAAACCCCAGGCTGGCCAGGTAATCGAGCTTGGGGACGAGGGTGTTTTCCACGCTGGAGACGAGCAAGACTGGGTCTTGGTAGGCCAGGGACTGGAGATCCTTGATGCCGAGACTCTTGAGGAAGAAAAGGGCCGGCTTTAGCTGGTTTTCCGGGCTGGAGACGAGGAGTCTGGGGCATTTCTTGATGACTCTCCGGAAATTGGGGTGTGGGATGTGGAGATCTTGGGAGAGGAAGAGGAAGACGGGGTTGAGGTGGGATTCGATGTCGGAGGTTAGGATGTCGGGGCACATGCCGAAGATTCTCCTGAGGTCGTTTTGGTGGATGCCTTTGGAGAGGAGGAAGGAGAGGAGGGAGTGGAGTGGGGCGGCGTGGAGGGAGGGGTTCTGGGAGAGGGCTTGACCGGAGTCAACGCCCATGGTCTCCAGGCACTGGATCTTGTCCTTCAGTTGGAGGGTGTGTGGTGGGTGTTGTTCTTGGAGGATGAGAGGTTTGGGTTTTGCTGGTCTTACTAAGGGGCTGTTTGGCACCTGGTCTGATGATGAAGAAGAAGAAGAAAAAGAAGGTATGTGTGCAGAGATGAAGATGGAGGAGGGATTGAGCAGTGCTGCTGCTGCTGGTGGGGGTGCCATTTTTGGAGGGGGTTTCAGAGATGGGAGGGGTTCTCCCCTTCATTTTACTTTCATTATCTCTGTGTTGAAATGACACGTGGCACTTTTGATTGGTAGTAATTGGCTTACACGTGATTCTGTGGATTGGGTAATTGAGCAAGTTGGAAGTGTTTGGACTTCATAGATCATGATACATGTATCCCAAAATTTGTACACCAAAGGTGTGCACTAACATTTTGATGGTTCACACTGATACAAAGTATTGGTGGGTTAACAAAAATTTACACAGACATAAAGTGTTGGTGCGTTAACAAAAATTTACAGACACAAAGTGTTGGTGCGTTAACAAAAATTAGCATTACACCTACACAAAATGTTGGTGTATCCATGCGGTGTACAAAATGGGGTACACATATCATTTTCCAAATTGATTTTATTTTGCAACTTTCATTTCTAAAAATGATAAGCCCCCTCCTCGAGAACTCCCTCAGACCTGTCTGGATGATCAATTAGAGTAATACATTGGAGTTTGATTACAAATTGATGACAAAAAACGTAGTTTGTACCTGGTACTTGCAGAGATTTTATGCTTAACATAATTTTCTTCCAATAAAGTAAAATCTATACCTAGTACTTGCAATTTTCTTTTCTAAAACTTATTGGTCATAACCTACCCTCCTGTATAAGTACACAAACAAATCCAATATAAGATGTACTCCCTCTGTCCACCATAGATCTTCCCAGTCACTATTCACAGGGTCAAACTTTACTCACTTTGTTTACTCAATTTTACTAGTCATTTCATAAAATAATATATTCTTGTCACCTCTAGTTTTGTAGAACTTTTCATTTAGTTTATTACTATATAAATTTTATTTTAAAATTTTACTCCTATAATCAATTAAATTGAATTGAAAATAAAGTCGGTCAAGCTTCGTAACACGTAATGGGAAGATCATACATGGACGGAGGGAGTATTAAAGAAGTGTTTAAGAAAATTATTTTCTACTTCTAAATCTGGCAACTTGTAACTACTGATTTAATTTCTTATAGTTAAATTTATTTGTTTGATTTAACCCATATAGGTTGAGATGTAGAGTGAAGTCAAGTGACTATCAAGTGAAATTGAAGTGTAAAAACCCTAATCCGTCCAGTTCTGCAACCCCTTTTGGACTTAGTATTTAACTTGGTAATCGTAAAAATTTAAAACTTTTCAAACACTTTTATTTATCACAATAATATTTTTCATAATATATACAGTACGGAGTATTCAACAATATTGTGGAAGCGAATTTAATTTTAACATATCATAAATCATTTCAAACTTGTCACATCCATCCCGACAATCTCGCCCCATTTGCCGCCAGGACCACATTAATCTTTCTGTTTACCTGCGTGTAGCAAATAAAACACACTACACGCTCAGCGGTAAAGCTGAGTAAGCATATCTAATGCGTCGAACATCCATATAAAATGAATCTAAATTCATAATCAAATCATTTGATATCATGCCCACAATGTTCATTTCAGACATTCACAGTTTTGATATTATTCAGTTTATATCAACACATTTTATTCAATTCAGATATTATTCCAACAGTGCCTTTAAATTATTCTTAATCTAAGGCCAAATAATAACAATGCTCTTAGCTATTCTTAGTCTAAGGCCAAATAATAACAATGCTCTTAGCTATTCTTAGTCTAAGGCCAAATCATAACAATGCTCTTAGCTATTCTTAGTCTAAGGTCAGATCATAACAATGCTCTTAGCTATTCTTAGTAAGATCATTATTAATCAGACACTTAAACTATCTTTAGTTTAAGGCAAATGATTTCGGACACTTAACTGTAGTCAGTTAAGGCAACAACAATATAGCGATTGATCAACATTGGATCGGACATTCCCAAACGAGTAATCCTCTAGTTTGGTCTACGAATCTCGTTTATGCATTTATATCTAATTAATCAACAATTCATGTTTTCATAAGTCCGTTCTTAGAGTTCTTCTAGATACCTTTACCAATACCTGTTATTTCATAATTATCTGTATTCATTTTACTCATGGTTCAATCATCCATAATCAATTTAACCAGTAAGTTCATCATTCATAATTATCCATAATAATTATTCATCATAATGATCATTCAACGTAACGTTTAGTAACAAATAGCGACCTAGTCTCGAGTGTTAACACCTGAACTTACCGTCATGCATCACATAATGTTTTATATGTCAAAAACATCATTCTTATTTTACAAACTCATATTTATATTGTTCATAATTAATTGGTATCAAAAATAGGATTTCAGAGAATATTTTCAAGAATATTTTCGGATGGACTATTGAAGAAAAATAATTTAAAATGATCAATTAATTTATAAAAACTGATTTAAATAATCAATTAATTCATAAAAATCGCTTTTTACAATATAAATAATCCATTAATTCATAAAAATCGATTTTTGCAATATAAATAATCCATTAATTCATAAAAATCGATTTTTGCAATATAAATAATCCATTAATTCATAAAAATCGATTTTTGCAATATAAATAATCCATTAGTTCATAAAAATCGATTTTTGCAATATAAATAATTGATTAATTCATAAAAATCGAATTTTACAATATAAATAATCGATTAACTGGTACTGACTTTGAACACCTCATCTGAACAAAGTTCTACTCTGTAATCGATTTTTAATAAGAAAATGATCTATTTTCGGACACTGTTCATCATCTTCTTCCTCTGGTCAGTTTCGAGTATTATCATTTTTAATCACCAAACTTCAATTAAATTATATAGAAATGTTCTCCAATGTTCATAGATCATTTTAACTTCATTAGTTTGTATTTTTAACATCAATTTCATGGTTTAAGGTTCTTGGTTCTTCAAACATGTCAAACACAAAATTCAATCAAACGACTGTTTATGAACGTAGAAACAATCTACACAAACATTCTAGTCACTAGATATATCTACGGGCTTACCTCGAAATTTAATGAAGGTTTTGGAAATTTTCCGGCGGAACTTCCGACGAGGATTGTGGCTAGCTCCGGGGACCTCTCAACAAATTGATAGCACCATTACACTCCTCACACTCTTAGGAACATAACAGGAAGAAGAATTGTGAAGAATGGTGAAGAAATGAGGAAGTTAGCTTCTCCTTTTATAGGGAAGATGAAGAAGAAGAAGACACTTGCTGAGTAGGTGCTGCTTAGATTTCCAAATTCCAATCTTCATTCGGCTGAGTGGAAGAGGAGGCGCCGTCCCTGAGTGGGACTAATTTTGGTTCCAGTCGGGCTACACTTTTTGGTCCAACTTTCTCCGAATTGAAATTCGTTTGCACCGTTGCGATCGTGCAATTAAACTCTATCCAACGTATAATTTTTATATTTATTCGTTATACTTTTTCCGATATCATATTTTTGGGTGGTTGACTTTGACAGAGTCAAAATTTATTTTGTTGACCTTTACTCAGGAAGATTTTTACATTTTATTCATATTATTTATTTTCATGATTTATTTCAATAAATCATTTCAAAGTTTACATCACAAACAAATTCTTCACTTATTCTTGATTTGGGTCTGTACTCAAGTTCTCAATCAAGGTCACACAGTAAGTCAACATATATTGGATTTATCTCTATGAGATTTATCCGGATTATGATATTAGATATCAAAACATATTTTATTTTGGCCCAATGTCCAACAATAATTTATTTTTAATAAAAAAAATTTGTTTAATTGAATATTTAATTCAAGAAATATTAGGGTATGTTTTGGGGCGTTACACGAAGATGGTAAGTTTTCTTATGAAAAAGTCTAAAAATATCAATGCAATGAACTTAAATTGCATTTCGTTCGCCTGATCTGATCAGATCTGATTTTTTGAAGATCTTATCTGTCTAGTCTGATCTAGTCTGATCGGATCTAATTACAGTTATAATTAAAATTGTTTCTGTCTGATATTATCTGATTATAATATGAATAAGATATAAGTAGAAAAAATAAATTGAATGAAACACTACCTTATCCCAACACATGGTACAAAAGTGAAAGGGGAAGGAATTTAAAATTTCTCCACATATACCTTATGTATCAACCAAGGGCACAATATTTCTCACACTTTCATAATGCAATACATAATGTCTCAGTACATATTACAGAATATTTCATCTATTATACAAAATATTTCATAATATGCCAGCTGCATCTGGGAATTTGAGTATAACTTTGATAGACAAAAATAGATCCTTACTCCCCCAACATTGTTCTAAACTTTGATAGACAATTTACTTGGTTTCACTTGTGTCTTCAACAACTATAAAAGATCTTCCAAGAGGGGAAAAAGGGTTTCTCTGCAAAAATCCAATGCAAATACAGAAGTGGTTGCGACATCGCACCAGTCACCAACTCAACCACTGCTTGCACCACCTGCACAAGAACAGAAATACGAAATGTGAAAAAAACGTTCATTTCCCGATTTGCAATGTAGTCTGAATTCACCGTCAGATATGGGGAGCATAACAAGAGGGGAAAGGTCACTCGTGACAGCAGGTAAAATGCACTTACCAACTTCTGTTGCTTCCTCAGTTTTCCAGACCACGTCTTTCAACCCTGTCGAGAGGTTTTTATAGAACTGGATGGAGGACACAAGAAAAAGAGCAAATGAAAATCATATTACAATTAGAAATTAAAGTAACCATATCAAGTACACTGATCTTTCGTGTACATATACATTCAAGCATGAAAATGCATCCTAATAATCCATTGAGAAAATAATTTGGCAGAAAATGTTTGGGATCGTCAATTGGAAATCCCATCGAGAGAGGTTCTATGCCACAGCAAATTTTTGACATTATTTGCAATTCAGTTGTGTTTTGCAATAGCTGTTCGGATAGTTAGTTGTTCCAAAGAGCTTGAAAAACAAGTTTTTTTTTTGTAAACCGAACTAGAAAACCAGTTGCTGCTAAAAGCTCTAACCAGCATCTCTAAAAAGTTTGAATGACAAGCTTTTAGTAAGCCAGTTTTTTTGGACAAACAAAACTCCCAAAAGGTTTTTACCAAATACTTCTAATAAGTGGCACTTCAGCCCAAAAGCTGTTTTTTCCTTCAAAAAGCTCCCCAATAAACTATTTTTCACATCCCCCTAAGTAAGGTTCTTTGTGTTCATAATTGCAGATGCGATATTAAGAAGCTTCATCATTGACATGACAAAGCCTACACAATAAATTAGATCTGGCATCTCTAAAAGTTGAACTTTAAGTGTGGCAGATAAACCATTCTGCACCTTATGAAATTCTAAGGTATCCCCTCCAGCCTTGCGAAGCTCTACTATGTGAAGCGAAGGAGTAACTTCAAGAATCTGCATTGAAATACTAACGGTTAATAACAGAGCGTCTAACAAATCATTAATCTTCTTGTGCTGTGTGCAAAGTAATACCTCAGTCGCAATTGACAAATGACCCTTGCGGCCAGACTTCTCTCCATGAAGCTTTAGCTGTTAGAGATATAAAAAAGGCTTATAAGAAACAACAACATCAACCCAGTACCAGCTTAAAGAAAAAACTCAACTTTATTATGTATCTCTATTCCTTTGACATTGGTTCTTCACAAGGAGAAGTTGAAGTAAATAAATGCAAACCACAGAAACAAGGCAGTATGTGTAGATGATGTGAACATATGTTAACTAAAGGTTAACTGCTTGTTCACAAACTGCTTGTTCACAAAACAAACCAAATGTGATTCTAAAAAGCTACTCCCTCCAATCCGCTGAAACTTGCCAACATTTAGTGTAATTTACACTGAAGGATGGTAAGTTCCAACAGTGCAGAGGGAGCATGATTAAATTAACTAGCTTTCAATTCTCAAATACTCCATCACATAAAAAGAATTTTGTTTTACCAGGGAACTACCGAACTAGTGAATAATAAAATAAACATATTTTATTAACCAAAAAATAATACGGAGTATTAATAATCAGTAAGAGTGGAAATTACAAAATCTAGATATTCACCTTATGCTTATTTTTCTTCACATTGAAGCCCAAAGGTATTGCTGTTTCTTCAATTTTTGAGATAATCACTGAAGCAGGATGTTTCGATGTAAATCTTGTTTCCCTTTTAACAAGACCCTGTTTGTTTAAAAATAACATAAATCAATAAGATTCTGAAAAGATGGGAAGTGAAGTTATAATGGTTTCAACTTCAAGATATCCTCCTCTTATTCCTTATATTGTCTCCTTTCATTCTAAGGGTATTCTTTCATTTGAGGTGGGGATGTTTACCTTTTTCAATAAAAGAAAATACTTCAACATGTTCAAGTAGACACCTTTCTTTTTATTAGAACATGCAGTCTTAGAAAGGAAAAAAACTGCAAATGCTGTTTGACACTAATGCATAGATAAGCTATCATGGATGCAAATATTAGATACTCCAACTCTTTTAACTACATTAGTAATTATTAATGATGATAAGGGACCCTCTAGTTGACAAAATACATCTCCGGTTCTTGGGGGGAGGGAATCAGCAATGCTAGGCCACACAATGCCCATCAATTTTACAAAATACTGCCTTTTTTCTATTTAAGTTTCCATTTTTTGAGGTTTTCTATGATCCTTTTTAAATTTCTGTTTAGTAAATCAATGGAGAATTATTTACTCTTGTATTGTATTACCATTGACATAATTTATATAAATGTACATAGAAAAACATGTACAGAGAATAAAAACAATTGTATGAAGGTGCAAACAAAAAATAATATAGCAATTTATATTGATGAATTTAAAGATAAAGGTAGGTTTTCTAAAATAAAAAAATAGATACATTACAACAACAAGCAATAGTTATCAATTTATCATACTTTAATTCCAGTTCAATGGGATCAGTTACATTAACCAATAGAAAATCTACCGAGGTTATCAAGAGAAATCCTCTTTTTCCATCCCAAACATTCTAATATCCCTATTTACCCTTCCACCCAAGTCATTTTTTCTTTACTTTAACTTCTCCTTAAGGGTGTGTTTGGTTTGAGGAGGTGGTGAGGGGAGGGAAAGGAATATTTTTAATGAACCTTGTTTCGTCCAAGAGAGTGGTTTTATTAGTATATATTTTTAATTTTAATTTAAATTGATTAGTAATTGAATTTTTTTTCTCCAAAAACATAAAGGATAGGTAGTACTCCCTCCGACCCAAAAAAGGGTCCTAGTTTGACCCTACAAGGAATAGTATGGTTGAAAGTGATGCAGATGAAAGATAAAGAATACATGCCACAAAAATTTCCCAAAAATGAAAATAAGAACCTTTTTGGGACGTCCCAAACAGGAAATGAGAACAATTCTTTCGGGTCTGAAAGAGTATAAGTTAATGAGTGATTAATTAAAGAATGTAAAACTTTTTATAAAGTTAAATTGACTTTATCTTATTTATAAGTTTAAAAAAAGTGAAAGTGAACCAAATGAGGGCATGTCCTCTTCCCATCAACCAAACACACTTACACCATATTTCTCCTACATTCCAGGGAATCACTCTCCGCACTCTAACTTTTCTAGTCACACCACACACCCTACGTAACATATGCATCTCCATTATTGCCCCAAAAAAAACATATGCATCTCTGCCACATTCATTTTCTTTATTGAATACTTCATCATTATCCAACTCTTAGATCTCAACCTTATAATAGTCGTATAAATGTCTTTATTTCTTTGTATAATAGATCCCAAGCACTTAAAGCAATCACTGAGTGAATGGAGTGATACTTCTTTCCCATCCGAATTCACCACAAACTTCTTCTTGACCTCATTCGTGCTAAATTTGCACTCCAAATACTCCATTTAGCTTAGACTTAACATAATCCTTGTGTTTTCACCTCGTGTCCCCATAATTCCAACTTAGCATTTAACCCTTAGCTTGTACACAAGCATGATATTAACCGCTAATAACTTATTTAACTTATCCATAAATGTTGCAAATAAGAATAGCTTATTGACAATCATTCGTGCAACCCTGTCATGATATGAAAATCTTGGCACCCCTCCACGGGTTCTAACTTGTTAAGAGTCTAGGTAGAATCTCTAAATTTAGATTGATATGCTTATGTGAGCCACAGTTCTAACTCATCATAAGCTTTCACTCAATCTATTAAAAAAACTTACACTCGATCTATAAAAACCACAATTCTTTTTTCTTTGCCTGATAACATTCAATGACTAGTCATAAATAACGTAAAAGATGGAAAGCCCATGTTGTTGATTGCACGAGCATGAATCTAAATTGGTGGGGTATGCCTTATACGTTTAACTTATTGTCATTTAGTTTGCACAATCTTGTGTCTCCTTTTCTTGAAAAAAATGGATACATTTCTATTGATTAGAACGTTTTATGGAACTTCCTTAATATGTGTGGTTCGGATAAATAGAACCAGAGATTAAAAAAGTACTATAAAACTTAAGGGAGTAACTAAATACTCTGTAAAAGTTAACAGATAAACAGTTTGAAAATGTTGTATTATTCCATCCTATAAGCTTTTGGAAAACATACCACTTGCTTTTCAAAGAGAGAACTAAGATTGAGGCCCTGAGATCTAGAAATTAGCTCGAAAGCATTCATCGCAAGTGGTGCAGCAGGTAGCTCTTCCCGTCTCTCCACAACGAGTTTTGGTGAGTCCTTTTCAAAACAAAGTTGTTACCGTAAGTTTTAAAACTATCATTGTTTAACTCAGAAGCTGTTAAAATGAACTTTTTATAAACTTTATGAATGAATTTTACATAAATAGTGAAATTCTTACAACTGATTCATCAAAGATGGCATTGACATCATCAAGATTCACTTCTTCCTGTTCGAAGACTGGTGGCTGATAACCTTTCTTAAACCAGTCATTCTCAATGACCTCAGCAATTGTAATGCGCTGTTTGATTATAGAAAACCATTCAGTTTCAGGAAGCATTTGTTACTGAAACTAGATACAAAACCAAGACATGTCTAAATTGACTTGAGTGGCCACAAGAAATACAAAGATACATAAATGCATTTACAAGTCAATAATTTTTGTTTTCTCCTTGTTTAATACATGTTGCAAGATATCAATATACCTTCTGAGGATTTGGATCCAGGATTCTGTTGATTAATTTCTTTGCACTTGAGGAGAACCATGGTGGACAAGTAAAATCAGCTTTGTGTATCTGCCAAGTAGGTTAAGTTACATGGTAAAATTAGGTGTGATGTTGTAAAATCTATAGTTGAATATCGAAAGGGTGAAGCATTGAATTAAAAGCAGTTACAAAAGCCAATGATAATAGCCTATTCACTACATGATTCCCAATGACTTTAGATATTATGTTAGAAAAAACATCAACATTGAGACATTGAGTGTTAAAATAAATTGGAAATACATCAACAACTAAGCCTCTCTCCCTATTTTGCCTATCCTATAAGACTTGGGTTTCACAAGGTAAATAACCGGGCATGAGAACTCACCTTTTTGTACAACACTGTAAGACTTGAGTCTTCAAACGGTAAATACCCAGCCATGAGTACATAAAGTATTACACCGCAAGACCAAAGGTCTGCCTTAGCTCCGTCATAACCTTTATTGTTGATCACCTTGGTAAGCAAATAAGCAAAAGGCAGGAGATTAAAAGGCAAGCTTGCTGGATGCAGGAAAGTAGAATAACTCAGTTATGTGTCAAAGAGAAAAATAAAACTCAGTAGTACCTCCGGAGCAACATAATTTGGTGTTCCACATGTAGTATGCAGTAATCCATCTTCCTAAGGGACAGACAGATGCAAATCAGGTTTGGTATTTGAATTTAATATAGATATCGAGTAATAAATTAGATATCTTTTTGTAAATACCAATACGTAGCACTTCAGTATTGATTAAGTTTGTAAATCAAAAGGTTTAGAGACATTAAATACCACATTGAGAAGAACACTATAAGTATAAGTGTATCTCACCCGAACTTGCTGGGGAAGTGCACTCAACCCAAAATCAGATACTTTGAGTACTCCATTGGAATCCAACAACAAATTCTCTGGCTACAAAACACGGGATACAAATGTGACAACTAAACTATCACACCACCGTATATCTACCATATTAAACTGAAACTTTAGGGGAAACAAGAAGAGATTAAAATCATATTACCTTGAGGTCTCTGTGGAACACACCTCTACTATGGCAGTAATCTACAGCATTAATCAACTGTTGAAAATATTTTCTTGCTTCATCTTCTTTCAGCCTCCCCTTACTAGCCTGTTCAATGGTGCAGCAACTGGTCATACATTGTTTTGGTTGGGAAATAGAACAATCATAGAAGCTGAAAGATCAAATCAGTCTTACGATTTTATCAAATAGTTCACCACCAGTAATAAATTCCATAACAATATATATCTTTGACTTGCTTGCCATGACCTGCATTATTAATTAAATAAACAGGATAATAAAAAAATATAAATTGCTCAAACGTATAAGATCAAGTAACTTAGTACAGCACACCAGCCTCGCCTAGTAGCTAGCAAAAATACGCATCCTATAAAATATGTAATAACGGAGTATATCACATTCTTATTTTCTTTTAGTTAAATGAAAAGGGAAAAAATTAGGATTCACCTTTAGAATTCATTTTTATCATGTTAAGGCACCTAAGCAAGTCATGAAGAACAAAAAACAAACACTTCTTACCTCGAACATTCGTATGACATTGGGATGCCTAACTAGTTTCATGGTTGAAATCTCACGCTTAATCTGCAAAGACAGGGTTAAAAGAATAACAATACGAATGTTTTTTAAATAATACGGAGTACTTTATCAGAAATAGGAAGAACTGTTTGAATAGATAGTAGCTATTTTAGATTCCCACAAATGAGCATCACATTATCATATCCAGGTTAGAGTTCAATTGGCAATTGCTCACACAATAATACCAGTATTTTGGAAGGAAATCAAAATCTTCATATAAAATCAATAAATGAATATAGTCAAACCTTTAAAACCACAGTAACCGTAAACAAATTGACATAAAAATAAAAACCCAGCAATTACATAAACATTAATTCAAGAAATCCAACACTTATAACTGTGGATAGATATGAAGATACCTGAGAAACCATCTTGTGTTTAAGAAGTTTTTCTTTGTCAAGAATCTTGACGGCCACATTGTCCCCTGTTTCTACATTCCTAGCAAACTTCACCTTTGCAAATGTCCCCTCTCCCAATGTCCTGCCCAACTCATACCTACCCACTCTTGTCCTTCCACCCTCACTACTGGAACTCGAAGACATCGTGGCACTCGTGTAAGTAGACGGTTTCGAAGTTTTGAGCCTTGGCTCAGACAATCTGAATGCAAATCCCATCCATTTATTCTCAACAGTCTTCCTAAAGTACCCTTCACTTTCAACTATTCAACGCTAAACTGTTAAAGCCTCTTCTTTTTACAGGGCTGCCACACTTGAGACTTGGCAACACTCATCTCTTCCAAATTCCAAATGAGTGTATACTTATTCAAAACAAGAGTTTAAAAACCCCCCCAAAACAAAACAAAACAAAAAAGAAACAGGAAAAACTCGAAACAGAGGTTTCGGGTCAACGGGTGATTGAAAAGATAAGGCAAAAAGGAGAGATGGAAATGCCAAAAAGCGAATCAAGAAGCGGAAAAGGAATGAGAGAGGCCATGGATTAATACGTCCTCTACAAGGCAAAAGGAGAATATTCCCAGAATTTTTAATTGCACGGTAATAAAACTGAAATTAAAAAAGGAAAAATCTAAATGGGTGCGATTACAATCCCTCTTTTCACGCGATACGCATTGGGATCCGGGTTTTGGAAGAGGAAAAAAAAGAGAGAAGCGGGAGACGAAATTGGGGTTTCTGGATGCCGTGTGTTTGCCGGAGTGGACGGGGAGCGGTGACGGAGAATGGGAAAGCGGAAGGGGATGAAAATGCGGGATTTGAGGAGGGAGGCGGCGGCGGTCGTGGGGCGGTGTTGGGGTTTGACCATTGAAAAAAAAAGAGGCGGAAGTTTCATCAGCATAAAAGGAGGATTAGGAAGGTAGGTGAAACATGGAGTCATGGGCTGCCATGTTTCGCTGGGACAGAAGAAGACCGGTCCTCGGCTAACCAACGGTCCATGGTCGGGATGATCGAGACACCTCCTCTTTCCACTAGGGCCCATGGAATTTCTTATCTCAACTCCCACTTTGGGAATAGTGTTAGAGATTAGCGTTAGCATTTTTAAAAGGCTATCTACGGACAGCGTTTAGCGTTAGCGTTTTCAAATTAATCTACACCGTTAAAATTTTATCCAAAACGCTAACGCTAATATCAATACTCACTTCACACTCGTAATATTTCACCACCAATGTAGTCATTATGCTTTTTTTTATAAACAATTACCTTTTTATATTCAAAGTAAATTATGCTCCGTATCATTTATAAATTAATCATACAAAATAGTACAAGCTTATTTCATTATTATTATTTTTTTGTTATCATTTTTTCCTTTTTTATATTAGCCCTGTTTGGGATTTAGCTGTTGGTAGTTGGCAGATAGCTGTTCGTGTTGGCTGGTTTGAACGGTTGGTTGAGTTGACTGCTTTGACCAATCGATTATGATGGTTGTTGATAAAAAATGTTTGGTAAACTTAGCTTCTTCAAAATAACTTTTATAAATTGAATTTAATTTAATGAAATTTTCACCTACATAATTATATGGTATAACATGCTTTTTTAATATATATATATATTCTTTCTTTCCTCAAATAAAATTTTAAGCTATATATTGTTCTAAAGTCATTATGATTTTATTTATTTATAGTTTTCATCATTCAATTGATGGAATAATGTAATTAAAGGGAGTATCATATATATTTTGTTTCAAATTTTTTTTGATGTAGTTCTTAAATTTATAATATGTTTATTTCTACACCAAAATCTCAAAAATAAAAATTTTGATTTTTTTTCTCGCAAATCGCTCCATGAAATTTACACGGAGAAGGTCTATTTATTATTTGTTTCTTCATTTATATACATATTAAATTCTATCTATTTGTTATATAAGGAAATTAAATAATTTTTTAAACATCTCTTAAATAAAATACTACTAACAAACTAAATAGAAACAATAAAAAACCAAAAAAAATAATAGTAAAAGAAAATTCACATAAAAGAAAGCAACTCGGCGAAAAGAAGTAAACACAAAAAAGGAGGAAGCAACTAAACAAAAAAGAACTAAACAAAAAAAATGAAAAAGAAAAAAGAAATAAACAAAGAATAAAAACATTAGAAGAAAGGGAAGCACACGTGGCTTATTATATTTTAAATAAATCTTTTGTTTAATTTTTGTCCAAGTGACGGTTGAAATCAAAAGAAACCAAAAATAAATAAACTTATCGTGAACGTGACCACGGCAGGACTCACTCTTGTGGTCACGAAGGAGAGGGGGCGGTGTTCGAGTGAAAGGGAAGCACACGTGGCTTTGCCACCTACACGGGATCATGCTTGGCAGGTGCGCAGGCATTACACCTAGTCTTAGAGCACTGGAACTATGTTTGAAGCTCGGGGCTTCAAGCATGAGTTTCAAACTTTCTCTCTTTGCCAGGTTAGTTTATCTTCCTTTAACTTATATCACAGTTTCATTGGAATGTGTTTGAAGTCCAGGACTTCAAACCTTTATTTTTTGAATTTTTTAATACATATTTTGTAAAATTAAATTAATAAGATTTCATTAATTAATTAAATTTAAACGGTAATAATTCATTAAATTAAAAAATACATTAAAAATATCAAATTTAAAAAAATACATTAATAAAAAACTAAAGCATATTTAGCCTTGATCTCTTTTTGCATTTTCTCGTAATACATAGGTTAAAATCTCATTAACGTATCAAAATCGGTTTCTATTATTTCGAGTTTCTCCTTCTCTATACCCCATTTCTGTTGGGACTGCGCGTGCCCTCACCCCAACCCCGCATTAGTATGATATTGTCCGCTCTGGGCCAAGTCCTCACGGATTTGTTTTTGGACACCTCCCAAAAGGCCTCATACTAATGGGGTTGGGTGAACATATATATTTTGGTCCATTTTTTCTTCTCCCTCCGGTGTGGGACTTGGAGGAATCCTCAACAAACCTCCCCTCAACCAAGGACCACACAATTTCTGACCTCCCCTCCAGCGGTAATCCATTTTTTCCTTTTTTATCTGCTAACCATCTTGCACCGCCGCACACTCTTTGCGGGACACGCCGCCCGACCTCCTGTTGGGAAGACTTTCGACGCAAAGCTCGAACCGCAGATCTTTCCTTTACTGGGCTACACCATTTGATCCGCCAAATCATCTTGTACCGCCGTGACTATAACTTCACGGGACGCGCCGCCCGACCTCCACTTGTCGGAAAGACTTTCGACACAAGGCACCACCTGCAGATCCTCTTTCTAGGTCTTGGTCCTATTATTACACCGTCACACCGAGATTTATCCACACTGCACAGTCCGCTGCTCACGCCCGCAAGAACCTGGGCTCCGATACCACATGTTGGGACTGCGCGTGCCCTCACCCCAACCCCGCATTAGTATGATATTGTCCGCTCTGGGCCAAGCCCTCACGGATTTGTTTTTGGGCACCTCCCAAAAGGCCTCATACTAATGGGGTTGGGTGAACATATATATTTTGGTCCATTTTTTTCTTCTCCCTCCGGTGTGGGACTTGGAGGAATCCCCAACAATTTTTTTTCTTCTTTGTCCTCTTCCTTATTTTTTTTCTTTTTTTTTATTATTAATCAATTTCGCAACAAACTCCACCTTGATTAAATAATTTAAAAAAAACTTTGTAGCTCCACCTCACTTCTCCGGTGAGATCACCGCTACTCCGAAATTTTTTTTATCCTTGGCGCCATCTCAGTCTGCTCCACTGAGACCACCGTTGCCAACCTCAAAGAAAAAAAAATCCTTGTGGCTCCACCTTGGTCCAACCACCAAGATCACTACCACCTTGAAAAAATTTTCATGCCCTATCTTGCTCAATACCGCAAGCTCTCCGCCACCATGTGTTGACTCATGGTCGTGGCCTCACCTTGCTCAATACGACAAGGTCTTCACCATTTTCAGTTATCATTGTACCCGTGGCTCCTTCTCAACCAACCCGCCAAGATCACCGCCACAACCTTAGCTCATTAGAGTTTTAACCCTCCACCCCAAGCTAAACAAAATGACAACTCACCTTTTTTAACACTCTTTGAGACCACCCATCTAGCAATTAGCTTCTTTGTTATCGGAGCTTGGTTGCGCTGGACAGGAGGGATTTGTAAGCGGTAAACATGTTGGGACTGCACGTGCCCTCACTCCAACTCCGCATTAGTATGATATTGTCCGCTCTGGGCCAAGTCCTCACGGATTTGTTTTTGGGCACCTCCCAAAAGGCCTCATACTAATGGGGTTGGGTGAACATATATATTTTGGTCCATTTTTTCTTCTCTCTCCGGTGTGGGACTTGGAGGAATCCCCAACAAACCTCCCCTCAACCAAGGACCACACAATTTCTGACCTCCCCTCCAGCGGTAATCCATTTTTTCCTTTTTTATCTGCTAACCATCTTGCACCGCGTCGGGAAGACTTTCGACACAAGGCACCACCTGCAGATCCTCTTTCTAGGTCTTGGTCCTATTATTACACCGTCACACCGAGATTTATCCACACTGCACAGTCCGCTGCTCACGCCCGCAAGAACCTGGGCTCCGATACCACATGTTGGGACTGCGCGTGCCCTCACCCCAACTCCGCATTAGTATGATATTGTCCGCTCTGGGCCAAGCCCTCACGGATTTGTTTTTGGGCACCTCCCAAAAGACCTCATACTAATGGGGTTGGGTGAACATATATATTTTGGTCCATTTTTTCTTCTCCCTCCGGTGTGGGACTTGGAGGAATCCCAAACAGTTTTTCTCTCTCATCTTCCCTAAGATTGAACAACCGTATTTGTTCAACCATTTGTCGGAATCAACTCCTAGCATATGTTCTTTACTTAAGTTTTTAGCTTTTACTATAACTAAGAAGAGATCTCCTTAGTCACAAGTTCAATCCCTGGATAGCGTTCAGAAAAAAGAGAAATTTGCTTAATGGCTAGTTCTCATTTTACCTTTTTCAAATAATTGTTTGGGTGGGACTTAAGAGGACCTCAATAATGGGTTGGGTAGGCATTTACCAATTACCATTCATTCATCTTATAGTTAACCAAGTTAAAACAGACAACAAACATCAAATGCTACACCATTCATGAACACACAGCCCTTGTTTTTCGGACAAACACCTCTACAAATACCCCAACAATACACACCTAAAAAATCTTAATTTTACCCATAAAAATCTCTCCTCAAAATCAAACAAAATAAAATATATTTTGGAATATATATATCTTTCAGAAGCTTCGCTTTTCCGGCGAGGGGCCGGCGGCCGGCTGGGAAGAATATTCCGATCATCATGCATCACAGGGTGTTGATGAGATTCCGGCGAAAGACATTCGAAGTCGCTCCTTCGGCCCTCATTTCTCCCCGGAGAATCTCGAACGCGCCGTCATTAGAAACCATTCTCGAAGAGGGGAACCCGGCGGTCAATTTTCCGGCCGCCGCTGGGAGCATTAGAGCCATGTGCATGGTTCCTCTGGTTCTTTCTCTGGTGTCATATGCTTTGATGAATGGGTATATTGAAATATTGTGATATGAAAAACCCCATTAATATGAACATTTTGGATAATGTTGGGATTTGAGAATGTTTTGTGTGTGTTCCCATGGTTTTTCTTCATGGTGATGTAATAATTAATTACAGTATTTCTTTCTTGTGCCATTCGAACAAGGGAGATATGATAATGTACTTTACAATGTACAGTATGATAAATTTAGAGGAGTGAATATATACTATTTCATGATATTTTATATTTAATTAGCAGGCTCATTGTTTTTTTGAACAAAATGCACAACTTTATCACCACCTCAAAGTACGAATACAACCAACAAACCAAAAGTCTATCTCA